TGTGTGTGTGTGTGTGTGTGTGTGTGTGCGTGTGTGTGTGAGAGGGAGTGTGAGAGAGGGGGAGAGCTTGGGAGGGCTAGTGCGTGGAGAGGAAGGCAGGTGCCAGAAGAAGAAGGCAACGAAGGGGGGATGGAAAGTGCGCACAGAAGTAGTTAAGATGGAAGAAATGTAGAGTGATAAAGAGAAGCGTAAACGGTAGATGATTCAAAAGGGGGAGGAAGAAGAAGATTGAGAGAAGGCGCGAGATTGAGAGGGAGAAGATGGATAGAGCCCAGACGAGAACTACTTCGTAGGAATTCGATAAGGTGTGTGCATGCGATCTTCAAATACATTAGCATATGACTTGGGTTCCAACCTTATAAACCTAACATCCATAACATTTTTACAGGGATATATAAGATTTTAAGCGTTTTTTTTAATATGATTTAGGTTTGGCGAGCAAAATCTTGCGGCCATTGTTGGGACTGTTGCGGTCGGATTTAACACAGTTGCTGATATAGACGAGGTAGTATTCATAAATTTATATGTATGACATATTTATGATGCATGGCTATAAAAAAACGCTAATAACGTACACATTTCGTAATAACATGTGTTGATTTCAATGCCGTATATTTAGAGGTCAGAAGTAACAATATAAAGTCTAGTTTCCGGTTACGTTCGTGGATTTAACTTGCATCTTGTGTTTTGTTCACTCAGTTGAATACAGCTTCTGAGCAGCATGCAGACCATACAGATGTGTTTTGGATGGCCATCCACAAAACAGAGGAGAACATCGAATATATGACAGAGAACGAGTGGGCTCTAACTGCATTCCTCAAACAATAGCACATCGTAACTCGCTCTAGGAAATAAGACAGTGAGACTGCATAACCAAGTGCCAACGTTTTTTTAATGTCTTCAACAGCAACGAATATTATTAATGTTATATGGTTAATTATTAATGTTATATGGTTAATAATTGTTATTATGATTAGTGAGGTGATGTTTCAGTATCAAGGATGCAATCACTAGACTTTTTTGAAATACCAGGGAATTACGATATATGTAACAATTCTAAAACAATGATAGCCATGTATAATTTATATAGATTTGTTTTGTAAATTTGTGAATGTAAATATCACACGGGAATAAAGTTCTGTACTAACGAAATAGAAGTAAAGTCTATTTGCCTTGACCAAAATGAGTACTAACTGTGTAGAGTGTGTGTAATGTGGGATATACCAAATTCTTAAAATCGTATGGCTACAACTATCACAAAACTAGTTAGCATATTACCATAAACATATCTGTACAATGTATATATATATATATATATATAGAGCGAGAGAGAGAGAGAGAGAGAGAGAGAGAGAGAGAGAGAGAGAGAGAGAGAGAGAGAGAGAGAGAGAGAGAGAGAGAGAGAGAGAGAGAGAG